AGCCCTCAATACCACTCCAAATCCTAAACTGGGAAAGACTGACACTTCCAATCATCCCCACAGCTACCCTAGTTTCCCAAAGTACTTCCAGAATGTGAATACACAGGTGCAGCCTGGCAGAGGACCCATTGGGCCTGACTGAGATTACATGAACACCTTCAGTCCTGACCAAGCAGAACAATCTCCTAAGGTGAGGGAGTGAAAAGACACAGCTCACACACTCTCACTTGCACCTCAGCCTCCTGCAAGCACAGACAATAACAGCAGCAACTCTCTGGCTTGGCTAAGAAATTGAAAACTGGTTTTAAAAGAAATCATATAACTACCAATGTGTCCCAAAGATCTGTAAATCAATACATGTAAAATGGACTCCGTGAAAGTCATTCTCTTTCTGACTTTAGGAATCTGAGCTTCCACAGGGACAATGGATAATATTACCTTGATAGGAAGGATATTCTATTACAACACTCACAATGTGAAATTCAAATCTCCTAGGGCATAAACATGCTTTTAAGATTTTTAATGCTAGAGAAATAATAGATATTTCACCAGTTCTCTCGTATTTGATCAATTACATTTACTTTATATCTATCATTTAAGAGGTACTTGTTCCTGTGGCTCTAAGTTCTATTTTATACTCATTTGTTCTATATCTTAGGACAGATGGTAAGTACAGTATTCCCACTCAATGGGTGAAAAAGCTAAGGCATGGGAGAGTTTGTCTTAGTGTACAGTAAGAATAAAAGCTCCCAGCTTGCCTAGTGCTTAGAGGGGAAACTGTCCCCAAATCCTTTCATGTAAGTAACATTTCTGCTGCAGTCCAGTCATGCCAACTCAGCTATAGCCATCTCCTTTACCTCGAACACTTTTATCTAATAAGGATTGTCATATCCCCTTAAAAAAAAAAAAGTGGTGTGCTTGCTTTGGCAACACATATACTAAAATAAAAAAGTGGTCTAAGGAGAAAAATGACTGCTTAACTCCTTCCCTGAGTACATAGGAAGACAAGAATATGCAAATGTGATGTGATTTATTAGTGATACAGTAGAACACATGTAGCTTCCTAATAATCACTTTTATGCCACTGAGGAAATTTTGTATACTTGTAAGATTTAATAATTTTTCTGCCTTTCCTACCTATAGCAACTCAAAGAGAAAAAAGAACATTAGGGAAAAATCTCATCATACAAAGACTGGCAAGAAAAGGGATCAATAATGATACTCTAAAACCATTCCTGTAACATCAAACAATACGCTATCTGATCCCCACACCAGCACACCACTGTCCATACCATACCAGATCACAATAGAGGAGGACAACTCAATATGGAGGTAAACAATGTTAATTCTTAAAGCTACGAATTTCATAAAGGAATAAAAGTAGAGCTGCCTTCATGTAATAAAGTCTTAAAAGGCAACTATGTCTTACAGTGATTACCTTCAATGAATGACAACACAGACAAGAGTAGGGGCCTCAGGGCCAGGGATTTAGCTCAGTGGTTCCACCGCCTACCTCATAAGCTCAATGTCCTGAGTTCGTTCCCCAGTACAAAAAAAAAAAGAGAGTAGGGGCCTCCTTTTATACTTTTCATCTCTCTATAATGCCTGCATTTCTAACCACAGACATGTGATAACTTTTTTGTTTAGAAAATGCTGATAAAAGTTGGGCATGGTAATTCATGTTTGTAATCCCAGCATTCTGGGAGGCTGAGGCAGGAGGATCACAAGTTCAAGGCCAGCCTGGGCAACTTATGAGACCCTGTCTGTCTCAAAATAAAAAAAGGAGCTAGTGAAGGTGCTGGGTTCCAACCCCAGTACATGTGGTGAGGGGTAAAAATGACAATGCAATGAAAAGTCTTATAAATACTACTGATTCTGAGAGAATTAGGATGTTAAAGAAAAGCAGACATACCTGAGAAATAACTGCAATGTTTTTCTTTACTTAAATATCTAATAAAGGAAATGGTATTTTTACCAAAAAGAAATTATATCTCCACAGGCATCAAGAAAGGAAGCATGACTTTCCTAATGCTTGACTGCTCAACCCTCACTTCTCCGCACTAGATAAAGACTGACTCCCACGGTGTTCTTATGTGCACCTAACTTCAGATTTACCATCAGGCTTACATCACTTAAGTGCTATAGCTCTTATATCTGTGTCTCACTGGAGTTATATGAGACAAGAAAATATATCTTACATGCTATACAGAGCTGCAAGTTGCCAATATATTCAAAACAACATGAACAAGTACACCCAGGAGACCTCAAATTTATGAGATGACTCAATATTTGGAAGGGCCAATAGCAGGTCATTTTCTCCCCACAGGGTGTTGTTTTCCATCCTGAAGATAGACCAGCATGCTCCAAGGAGCACAAGTGCTTCATAAGGACATGGGAGGCACAGGGTGAAGGCTGGAAAACAAAGTCAGAGGACAGCCAAGAACTGGTCAGTAAACATGACACAACTTCATGCACCTTGCACAGGAAACCAAGCTAGCTTATGCCTCTCACACCAAGTTAGTAAAATAATTACCCATTTCATCAGTATGCCTGCTGCTTCTTTGGCTATTTATTACATGGACTTTTTTTTTGGTACTGGGGATCGAACTCAGGTCCTTGGCTTGCAAGGCAGGCAGTGGAACCACTGAGCTAAGTCTCCGGCTTACATGGACTTTTGATGACCAAGAGATTTAGGGTCACACCAAAAATCCACAACAATCAGTCATTTTATTTTGTTCCTCTCTGTGTCAGCTTCCTGCTAGTCATCTCATGCGTTTTCAATCCAAGCTAGAGAAGGCAGCTATCCAAATGTCACCAAACACAGGGATGAATGTGAAGAAAGAATGGGCAAGCATGTTTTACTAACAATGAACCCATGCAGGAAGGGGCACAAAGCTTTTATGTCTGGAAGAAGTGTATCAGTCTACTGCAGCAACAGATAAGCCTACATAAAAAGAGGCCTGTGCAGAACCAAGAGGAACAGCAGCACACACAAGCTCTCACTTGAGTTTGGTGTTGTGCTAGGGTGCTGGCCAAAGCAAACTAGACTAATGTGGCTGCTAATTTGCCTAAAGGAAAGACAGTGAAAAAAAGAGTATATTTGTGCAGTGAATGCTGATTACAAAGAGCATTAAGAATGAGGGGGCAAATGGAAATCCAGCATTATCTAGTGAAACTCCAGGTTTATATCCCATGAACAGTAATTCCATCCAGTAATTCCATTCCAACCTAAAGAAAGCTGCACAAGAACACTAGGAGTCCTGGAAAAAATATTTAACCGCTTGTGTTAACAAACAGGGAACAACTTAGATGTTCACCAAGAGGAGAATTACAATACATTATTCATACAATATAATACTAACCATTAATGAAAGTATTTACAAGTAGAACCACGATACAACATTGATGATTCTCAAAAGTTTGAGTTAAAAAAACTAAAATAAGTCAGTGTACATACAGTAGACAGCATTTCTATGAACTTCAAAAGCATTCATAACTAAAAAATATATTTTTAGAGATACAAATACATAGCAAAACTACAGTCAAAAAGAAGATAAGGAAAATGATAAACACAATTCAGGACAGTGTTTACTTTTGTAGGTGGAAGAGGGGATGTAGGCCTGCAGGCTTCCACGTAAGAGATAATGTTCTATTTGTTAGGCTAAGTGACAATAAAGACGTTCTCATCAACATATGTCATGTCCTATATGTGCATGATAATATTATTCAAAGTAAGAGAAGAAAAAAAATAAGAGTTGAGGGTGGAAGCTTACAATGGTACCTAACTCTGGCTTACATATCCATCTACCTCACCACCGGACTAGCTGAATTAAGGAAAGAGTCCAAGAATTCAAGGCAACAGAATCAACTCAGTTTAGAAGTGGCAAAAAGAACATCTCAAGGCACTTCTCTGGGTTTACCTATTGGGTGGAACCAGCTCCACAGGCTGTCTATTCACAGGATAGGCTGTAAGACACTCCACACTATCCTACCCAAAGTGTTGGAGAAAGCCTTGCCAGTACAGAAACAGAAAATATCAGGCCGGGGATTTAGCTCAGTGGTTCCACCACCTGCCTTGAAAGGGCAAGGTCCCGAATTCAATGCCCGGTAGCAAAAAAAAAAAAAAAAAGAAAGGAAGAAACAGAAACTATCCCCAGACCTAGGCATATTTTGCTGAGAGAAGGAAAGTCCCCAGATGGTTCCAACAGACAGAAGAATGAATTGAATTTAGGAACAAGGCAGTCATTTTACAGAGCCCTCCAGGGCTGAGAGACTGTCATCAGTTCCTAGGAGAAAGGAGAGAGTCAAAATATACTTGAGGACACACTCAATAGGACCTCAAAACTAAGCACAGTCCTGGCAGAACATGATTTGAAGCACAGAAGAACGTGTGTATAGAAGGCTTACTAAAAGCCCCCAAAGGCCTGGGGATTTAGCTTAGTGGCACCGCGCCTGCGTGGCAAGCACAAGGTCCTGAGTTCGATCCCCAGTACCAAAAAAAAAAAAAGCCCCAAAGGTTACTCTATATAGGCTTTACCCAAAAGAACTGATAACCGAGTTTGGCATATGCTTAGCACATTGGGAAATAATATCAAAACCATCTACCACATCTGTATAACATATATACAGCCCACGGGCGCCGGCAGGCAGGAAAAAGAGTGACTTATTCGGGGAAACTGACCGTCTGGAAGGCCGGATTCGGTCAGACCTGGCGAGGGAAGGCCCTGGGCAGGGTCCAGAAGGCCCAGCTCCAGCGAAGGGAAGTGGTGGTCCTGGGCTAGGCAGAAGGTGGGGCTGCCGGGAGAGGGCAGGTTCCCGCAGTAGCAACCCTAAGATGCCCGGCTGGAGCCAGGCGTGGCCAAGGGACGGCCAGGGGAGTCGGGTTGGGGGCCGCCCCCCTGGGAGACGAGACCAGGAGGGAGGGGAGAGAGGCGGGTGCTTGTCACAGACCCAGCCCAACGCCCCTCCCCAAGCCCACCCTCCCCCCGCCCGCCACTCACCTGGGGACGCAGCTGGACGAGCTCCGGTCCACTTCCCAGGTAGCGTAAAGGTTCATCTGCACCGGGGCGGGGGTGCGGCCTGGCCCCGGGCCGCCGGGAGGAACGGTGCCCGAGGCCACCGCGACGGCCATGGAGGTGGAGGTGGACGAGGACGAAGAGGAAACAACCGCCGCCGCGGTTGAGGACAACGAGGTGGCCTGGGCCAGCTTGGGGGGCGTCGGCTGCTGCGGCGTCTGCTGCTGAGACGGAGGCGGCTGCTGCGGGGACTGGGCGACCCCGGATCCCCGTTGGCCGCTGCTGCCCCCGGCGCCTCCGGGACCACCGCCCGTCCCTCCGCGTTCCGCCATGGCCCAGCCAAGGGTCGGAGGGTCGCCGAGCTCACTCGGACAGAAGCGACGCTGCACTACTCCCCGGCTTCCCCCGCGGCGGCGGAGACCAGGACCCGGAGCGTCTTCTCAGCCGGCCCGGCCGAGCGCGAGCCGCCAGCGAGTCTGCACGCACGCGCGGGGCCTCCGGCGCGCGGTCCTCGCGCTCGCTCGCCAGCCGCCGCCTGTTGCGGCCCGCGCGGCCGAGACACTGGGTGGGCGTGTCCGGGGAGGGGCGGGGAGCGCAGGCTGCGGCCCCGCCCAGCGCCCAGGGGCGGGGGTTCGGTGCGCGCTCAAGCAGGGCGGGCTGTGGGCAGGCGGCTGCAAGAGGGTCTGCAGCAGGCGCGCACGCTTATCCTTCCCTCCCTCCAGTTCGCAGCGCCAGCAGCAGCCGACCTACCCCACCCTCGCTTCTCTCTCCCTTCACCCCTTTCTTTGGCGGCCCCAGTCCCGCCGGCGGAAACCCCGCTTTTCCGGGGCGCGGCCCCGGCTGGGAGAGGAGGACTGTCGTGGGACCGCGCGCCGTGCAGAGTCTGGCGAGCTGGGTGCCAGAGCCAAGCTGCCGCTGGCTGCACGCGACGTAGAAGCCTCTAGTCCACCACCCCGACCTGGCTTTGCACCCTCACGACTTTTTCGCCATTAAAGGGAGTGGCCAGTCAGTAGGAACCTAGTGACCTGTGAGCAGCAGTCCCTGGAAGCTGTGACGTTACCGCCCTGAGGGCTGGCAGAGGCTCTGAGACCTAAGGACTAAAAGGCCCTCGAAAGGGTGAATTAAGCTAAGCCCTGGCCAGGTCCAGAGTGCTTCAGTGTTTGAATTTCTAGAATTCTATCCTTTCCAGGCCTAGCTCAGCTGCCACATCCTCTGTTGGATCCTCCATTCCCCCTTCCAGAAACTATCTTGAAACCTCTAGCACTGACACTTCCCTCAGTGTACTAACAGACTAGTTCAACAATGGTGCCTGACTTCTGGCAAATGCCTGTAGGATCCAGTGGGCTAAGCCAGTCTAGACTTTTAGGACCAGGGGAATCCAGAGAAAGCATGTACCCCTTCCCTACACACACACACACACACACACACGCTAACACTAGTGTTGTTTGAACCAGGGGCTCACAGGAACCCAGAACAATTAAGATTCTGAGCTATGTTCTCTCAGAGTTAAGGACTCGGGACTTTCTGCTACAAGGTCAACTAGGAAGGCCTGATCTGGCCTACTTCCTAACCCCACTGTTGCTTCTCCGGCCCAGCCAGGGCACTAAGATGGCTATTTTTACTCCCCAAGGACAAAGTAGTAAGGTCAAATCAGACCTGAGGTACTTCCCCAGAGCCTTTCTACACAAAAGGGAGGTGGGATAGTAAGTCACTCACAATTTCGCCTTTGGCTTTGGCTTCACAAAGTCTCAACTGTAACATCTGATCCAAGTACCTGCCTGGGTCACTGGGGCAGCCCAGTGGTTGTAAGAAGATGCTATTCCAAGATTGCAAAAAGGAATAAAAAGAGATGAGAGAGGACCATAGTGTTACACAGTCAATTTCTTTCCTTGGGAAGCAGCTTTATTTACAAAACAAGTCTAAAATAAGAACATGAAATGACAAGCCCTTGAGAGCTGCAGAAGAGCTCACTCTTGGGGAATCATGTATGAAGCCCAGGCATCCAGATAAAGGGCTTAAAAGAAGGCCAGCTGTGTGTGAGGGACCTAAAACTTGAACTCCTTATATTTCTTGCTGCCCCCTCGGCTGTCCTGGGGCTGAGCTTTCCGTTTCTTTTGCTGTAGGAAAGAGAGAAAAACAGGTTATAGCAAGTTAAAAAACTCTAACCCCCAAAACAAAGGGAGCAGCCTGGCATAAACATAGAAGTCATGGAAAAGCACTGAGTCTAAATTCTGTTCCCACCTTCCTCTCAGACTTGGGTAAGTTCTTTTCTGGTGCGTCAGCTGCAGGCATTGACTACACTTTCATTCTCAACACTAGAGGGCACAACTGCACTGGAAAAGGCAGCCCCTGTTCCCAGCTCAACCCCAGCCCTGGGAGCTCCCACCTTCTGTTTGGCAGCATGCTCGGCCACCATGTCACTGAAGTCTTCCTTCTCCACTTGTGCCTGCTGCTCCCGCACATGCTCCTCATACTTCTGGGTCATGGCCATTGGATCTAGCTCCAACTCCTCAGGAGCCAGGGCCACTTCCACACCTTGCAGCTCTGGGGCTGGACCCTTCCGGCTCATAACCTGAAAGAGAGATCAGGGTCTTGTCACCTCCAAAAGAGTCTCAGAAGCCTTAGCTCTACCCCATTCTCCAGTCCCCCAAAGTCATATCCTCCAAGTGCTTACTGTGGACATGTCATAAATGTGGGTTGATCCCATCATGGCTCCCCCAACGGTGGCTGTTCTCTTCTCTGGCAACACAGTGAACAACTGAGGTGTTTCACTTCTGCAAAGGACAATGGGGTCAAGCCCAAACGGGAAAAAAGGGCCTCCAGAGGGGGGAAGCAAAAATAACACAGGTGGCACCTGCACCCAGATTCCTTGGGGAATTTTGGGGTACCTGGGGTTGCAGCCTCTGCCCCTCCCCAAAAAAGACAATTACATTAAAATGTTACTATAATTGCTTTTGTTTTTTGTGATAAGGTCTCACTATGTAGCCCAGGCTGGCCTCAAATTTGTGGTGATCCTCCTGCCTCAGCCTCCCAAGTGTTGGGATTACAGGGGTGCACCACCATGCCCAACATTAAAATGTTATTATATTTGCATTCTACATGTTCAAAAAGATAAGAGAAACAGAATACATTTTTTTTTTTTTGGTACTGGGGATCGAACTCAGGTCCTTGTGCTTGCAAAGCAGGTGCCGGAACCACTGAGCTAAATCCCCGGCCAGAATACATTTTTAAAAGACCCAAATCAAACTTTCAGAGATGAAAACTACTTTGGATATATTAATGTCAGAATAGAAATTGCAGAAGGAAATAACAATAAACATGAAAAAAAATTGGCAATAAAAACTTCTGAAATAAAAAAGAGAAATTTCTTAAAAATGAACAGAAGCCGGGAGCAGTGGTGCACACATGTAATCCCAGCACATGGAGACTGAGGCAAGAGTACTGCCAAGAGTTCAAGGCCACCCTGGGCTACATATGAGTTCAAAGCCAGCCTGAAGTACATAGCGAGACCCTGTCTCAAAAAACAAAAACAAAAAAACCCACAAAGAGATCAATGAATATCATGTTCTAATTGTTCAGAACCAGAGATAAACAGAAAATCTCAAAAGTAGCCAGAGGAAAATGATATATTACATACAAAAGAATAACATACTACATCTCAAAAGTGGCCAGAGGAAAATGACATATTACATACAAAAGAACAAAGGTAAGCATGAGAGCAGATTTCTAGTGAGAACTTCAAGAGACTCAACAGATGTTCAACTGCAGTTTATAGAAGAGAGGAGAAGCTGGGCATGTGGTGCACACCTGTAATCCCAGAACTCTGAGAAGCTAAGGCAGGACTGCAAATTTAAACTCAGCCTGGGCAACTTAGACTATCTCAAAATGAAAAATAGAAAAAGGGCTGGGGATGTAATTCAGTGCGAAGGCACTGGGTTCAATCCTCAATAATGATAGAAAAGGAAGAAGGGAATAGAAAAAGGGGGACGGGAAGGGAAGGGGGTGTTTGGAGAAATAATGGCCACTTTTTTTCTAAAATAAAAACTATAAACCCACAGTTCCAAAATGCTCTACAAATCCCAACCAAAGATACATGAAGAAAACCACACCAAGGAATATCATGTTCAAATTGTTCAGAACCAGAGATACACAGAAAGTCTCAGAAGTAGCCAGAGAAAAATTACACATTACATACAAAAGAACAAAGGAAAGATGACAACAGATTTCTTGTGAGAAACAAAGCAAAAAAGACACTGAAGCAATTTTAGAAGTACGGAAAGGGAAAAACACCCTGTCAACCTAGAATCAATATGCAACAAGAATTCTTGTTTCAAAACCAAAGTCAAATAAGAGAACCTTTTACGATTACAAAAGCTGAAAGAATTTGTAACCAGCAGACCCACATAAATGTTAAAAGCCCGTAAGGCAGAAGGAAAATTATGCCACAAGAAATGGATAGAGGGCCAGGGATTTAGCTCAGTGGTTTCGCCGTCTGCCACACAAGCACAAGGACCCGAGTTCTATCCCCGGTAACCACCCCCCCAAAAAAAGAAAGAAAGAAATGGATAGACACAAAAGAAATGAAAAAAGACTAAAAATGATAACTACATGGGTTCATATATGATTATATAAATCTCTCTAAAAAATAACTGACTACCTAATAACTACATAGTGTAGGATTTATAACATAAGTAAAAGTAAAATTACCACAAGAGTGGAAAAGATGTGCTCGCTTTGGCAGCACATATATTAAAATTGCAATGATATAGAGAAGATTAGCATGGCCCCTGCACAAGGATGACACGCAAATTCGTGAAGCATTCCATATTTTTTTTGAAAATGAGATAACATTTTTTTAAAGAACATAATAAACTGCAGATGTAACAGTGAAAAAAAAGAGTGGAAAAGATGGCAGGAGAGTATCAAGGCTCTCTTAATACTATCCGGAGTACTGTATCACATGAAGGTAAAGGATACTATAAACCCTAAAGCAACCTCTAAAATAACAGACAGTTACTAAACCAACCAACAAGGTAAAACAATCACATGAAAAATGCTCAATTAATCCAAAAGACAGGAAAAAAGGAACAAAGAACAGAATGGACTCAGAGGTCATTTCATGAGTCAGCCAGCCAACCCAGAGGCCAAAGGGAGGTGAAAGTCCCCACACTGCCTGCCTGGTTCCCTTACCCATCCATCGCCTCTTCTATCTTCTTCTTTCTCAACTCAATGAGTTCAGGGGTCTCCATTCCAGCCGGCACTGATGAGAACCCTCCAGGAGTGATGAGGCCACTGTGAAGAGAATAAGCTCTGGAGTAAAAATAAGGCTCCCAAGCAAAGACTTCAGAGACCAGACTCCATTTCCCCACCTGTCTGCTGGCGTAATAAAGCCTGTCTCATCTGGTTTGTCTTCATCACTTTCTTCCTCTTCCTCCTCTTCGGAGGATTCTTCATCAGATGGCTCTAGTTCCCCCCAAGGGGTCCGATCTATCTCTTCTTCTTCAGTCTTGGTCTGAAAGAGATCACTCATTCATTCAAGAAATGTTTACTAATGTT